ACACACACCACTCTGGGGCATACTCCCACGGGGGCCCTGGGGCAGGAGCCTTCTCCTGCCCCGTATGCATTTCCATGTGCTTTCGGACTCCTCTAGGGGGGTCCCTACTGAGCACACTGCCTGCCCTCCTCTCCCCCGCTCCCACAGGTCCTTGCCCTTTTGCTCAACTAAGCCCAACACGCATAGCCTTGTCCACTCCAAACACCCCCCCCACACACACACACGTCAACATGGTGCACCCCTCACGTGGGTCGTACGCAGGATTCCCACCGCCACCACCGCACACATCACCCACGGACGCACACGTCCACACTCTCCCCAGCGCACATTTTCAGAGGTTCTAGCCTCCAGCTGTGAGATTCGCAGACGGAGGGCACAACCAGGACACGTGTCCACCGGACTGCTGGGACCTGTGTGAAGAAGGGGTCCAGGGCAACCTCCAACCTCGGCACTTAATCCCCTCCTCATTCACCGGGCGGTCTGGGGTTGGCATTGCCCCGACCAGGCTGGCAGAGTGTGTGTGTGTGTGTGTGTGTGTGTGTCTGAGCTTCAGTACTCCTTTCGAGCTGGTTCCCTGGGTGACCTTCGGATCTGCAAGCTGGGGCTTGTCTCAGATGGTTCTTTCTGGGGACAAAAACCGGGTCGTTGAGGGTCACTCTTTTCTCCCCATTCTTGATTTCTCAGGATGACACCACCCTTCCTAATCCCAGCCACAAAATATGTGAAGACACAACAGGGAGATGACCGCACCTCCGCGGCAGGCGGGCTGAAGAGTAACACTCCTTCCAGGGATGGTCATAGTCTCTGAGTTTTGGGGACTGCTGACCTTCCCAAATACTCCCAACCCTTCTGGCTGTCAGTTCCATTATCTCCAAGCCAGTTTTCTCCCAATCAGGTCACGTGTCCCTTAGGTAAGCATTTCCACGAATACCTTTAATTTTTAAGGAAAAAATGGAAAGGCAGACCTCTTCCCTCTCCCCCGAATTTGCTGAAATCGCATATTGTGAACGCCTAAAATAGTGTTTGGCATACAGTAGGCGCTCATCAAGCACTCCCGCCAGACTGCGGAATTGGAAAGTGGATGGCCACTGCCACCTGGTGGTATCCAGTGGAACTGGCCTCGAGATCCTTCTGTAAACGTGGGCGGGTTGGGTCCTGATCTGTAAAAGGGAGATTGTTTTAATAGTACCCTCCTATGGGTAAACACCGGGCACAGGTCAAGGGCTTCGTGCAGGGATCTGATATGTGGAAATCTCTTAGCACGAGTTGATTAATATGATAGTGATGGTTACATCCCCTTTCTGGGTTTATTTCAGAGGGATTCTGATGACTTTGGATGCTGCTGCTACTTGGAGAGCAAAGAGTGAAACTGAAGTAGAATGAGTGGCAGGTGCATCCCTCCCTCTCTCCCTAAAATGTTCAAAGACCCATGGAAGATGATAGTGTCCACGAGATAGCTAGCATTTTACATAGTGCTCGCTGTATGCAAAGAGTTGTTCTAAGGACTTTAAATCTTTTAACTTATTTAATTGCCCTAGCAATCCTTTTGGTCAAATACCATTATTTGCCTCATTTTACCCATGAAGACCCTGAGGCCCAGAGGGATTCAGTACAGGCCAAGTTCATCAGCCAGCAGAACTGGGATCCAATCCAAGCGTCTGGCTCTTGTCCTCATCCAGTGGCTCAACTGGTGTCATTTGCTGTAAGGTCAGACATCCCTCACCCTTTGCCCCCCGCAGAGGTCTCTGGAGGGCTTGCTGCATGTCCAGCCTTGGAGAGTGGCCCCGTGGCTACGGGGCACTTTACATGTGATTGGTATTTTTATTTCCTTTCAGTTAATTTAAATTTAAATAGCTGCATGTGGCCAGTGGCTACTGTTTACACAGCACATCCCTAAGCTGGATGAGGACAAAACCCCAAACCCACGTCTTTTGTTCATCCTTGTGTTACCAAAGTCCTAGGGCAAAGGCCTCAGATCCAGGGACCCCAGTGGACCAGACTTGGCCACCTGTCCCAATATGCCAATCAAAGAGGGCAAGCGGCTATGAAGGGCAGGAAAGGAAATTTCAGCAGCGTGGCCACACTGGGAAGAACAGGTGACCAAAAATCTGTCTTCAAGGGACTGACAGGTTTTATAGAAAAAGACCCTGTTTGGGAGGTCTACCTGGAGGATGAGATCGGCTTGGTCAGGTGATGGTGTGGAAGCTCTGGGAAGGTCATTATCAATTCAGGGGACAATTCGGTTCCCAGCATGAGATGATGGCTCCTAAAGCTTAAGGAGCAAGGTAGGTTCCTTCATGGGGTAATTGCTCCTGCTGGCGGTGGGGCAGTTCAGCCTCGGGTGATCTGTTCCGCAAGGCTCCCTGTTGCATGGGGGTAAGTCGGAGTTGCTTGTCCTAAAGACGCTGATCAGTCAGACCTGTGGTTCCTGGAATCCAAGAAAACTGCAGAAGACAGTGACTCCGAAGGGCTGGGGGTGAGATGGAAAGGCAAATGGAGTTGGTCAGGTCAGTGCCTGGGTCCTCCAGTGACCTGTACAGGGAAGGACTCACTGAATCTTGGTTGACTAAAAGAAATCAACCCCAGCCTTGCCAACCCTCGAAGGTGTGGTATTCCGTGTTCCGACCTTTCACGACCCTCTTTCCGTTAGTGAATCAGTAGATCATTTCCCAGAGGGGTCTGCTGCTCCTGGCTTTGAAGTGGCCAGTCCCTTCTGGTGGATCATTTTACTTAAATCACGGGACTTTCGGTAGGTGTCTCCTGTTCTGCACCTGACAAAACCGAGATTTGGTTTTTAGACAGAGGGTCCCTGTTGGTGGCTCCTTGGAGGAGGCGAGGTGACCCTGTTCTCCGGGGCCTCCTGGTTGGTATAAGAGGCCGGACCTCCTCCTGGAGACCTGGGAGCCCTTCCTTGGCAAGGCCGAGAAGGGACTCAGGCTCCTCAGAGGCTCTAGCTCCTGACTGTCCCCTCCTGGAGTGGGGATGGGAGACTTCCAGCTGTTTCCACCCCTGGATGCACCCCTGGAGCCAGCAGTCAGGGGCACTGAGAGAACCGAGGTGGGACCCAACATTGCTACCACTTCACCATTTTGTGGCCGTGACAGATATCACCAATTGATTGCTAAAAATTTTCAATGCTTTTCATGCCTCAGCCTGTGACTTAGGCTACCCAGTCTGTGTTCGAGGATTTAGTCACTGTTGCAAAACATCCTTCTCTTCCAGTTATTTCTGGGGGTGCACAGCAGGGCACCTCCACAGACAGCTACAAGTCAGTGTGTCTGCTTCAGTCACCACGTGGCAGCCATCGACTCTTCCTTTCCTGCATTGACTTCCATGATGGGGTCACCCAATTGTGGTTCCCTGTGAGGCTACTGTGGAGACACACTCCCAATGCCCCAAAACTGTTAGTTAGGAAACATTCAAATAACAGGACATTTGTTATGGCCTCAACAGTAGGAAATTTTGTGATCACTCAAGCCGAGATGTGGGTGATCTCACAGTTGGTTTGTTGCTCAACAATGTCAACAAGGGCCCAGATGCTTTCCAGCCTTCTGCTCTGCTGTTTTTAGCTGGTCACCTCATGGTCACAAGAGAGTTGCCACAGCACACCAAGTATCAAGTCTTTAAATGACAGTTTCCAAGGTGAGAAAGGTGTTCAGGGAAGAGAGCTCTCCCAGGAGCCTTTTTGTTAATCAGAAAGAAAATTGTCCTTGGAGCCATAGCAGGTGGTCAGAAAGGGTCACACAGCCTCCCATCTTGCAAAGAAAGTTGGGAAGTGATAACTTGGTACAAAAAGACTCAGTAAAGACGGAGGGTGAGAGAAAGGGGGTTGAGGCAGGAGCAGCCGGCATCTGCCCCAGGTGTCCCTCCTCAGAGTGGGCAGCCAGGAGAGGTTTGACTCAGCAGTGTGCCTGTCCAGAGTCCCACCCAGCCACCCAGGAGGGTGACTTCTGGGCTTCCGACTGTCACCACTGTATAAAGTAAGACGGAATTGTTGCAATTCCAGGTTACTTATTTATAGGTCTTCCTGAGCCTTCCCAGTGGAGATTCAGAAATCTCGGAACATTTATCTTCACTCCGTTATCAAGCTCAGAGTGGTGTGGGCTCCAAGGTCAAGGTCAAGAGAGAAGCTGGAGGTGAGGCCCAGCTGTGCCAGTCCTAGAGGCCACGCTCTAACCACTGTTTTATCCTGCCATCG